CGACGAGCAGGTGTCGGAGCTGGAGGAGCTGGAGGCAGCGGCTGATCCAACGAAGGTAGCGACGGCGACGCCGAGGATTGTCTTGGCGTTCATGGCTAGTATCTGGAGGCTTGGGTAGATAGTTGTCTGCGTGAAGCGGAAGAAGTTGTAGAATGAGGTTGGCGAGTCTGGTTGCAATCGATCTTGAACCTCTTGTTTATAGTATCTCCTGTGAGCAAGATCAGCCCCTAACGCACGTATGACCTGTTGTCAAACTGCAAAATGTAGTATTTCAGACTGAAGCGTGGCAAGTGTATCCTGGGTACCCGAGCCATTTTGATGCTCCTATAGGCTACCGGCGACATCTGCCCGTCATAATGCTCGGTCCAGCACTGGTTAATGAAGCCTCTGCACAGTGTCCCAGCGCAGTATTGCCTCCGGTTTTATATCTCAGGACACACGCACTAAGCCAGACTTGACCACCACAAGGAAAGAAAATGGATTTATCTGCGCCCAATGAACTACACGTAGGGTTCATGTAGTGCTCACGCTAAACCGTAAATTAACTCACCTATGCATTGTCCTGGTGACTCGCGTATCTGCGTTCAGTAGGATGAAGCCACTGTATGTTTGGGTCAGTATATCATGGATAATGGGCTAAGTATCGTACACACAGCTGTAGAAGCTCGCTACGTTGACTGCCTTGCGTGAAGTTGCTATCACTTTGACTCACTGACAGCAAGGATATCCTGAGATCTGCGGGGAACCTTTAAAATGCCGAGGCGATCGTTGGCATCCGCCAGTTTCAAAGCCTTGGAATCAGACCTCTCCAAGGCAATCTCACAGTGGAGTCTACATGAATAGTGAAATTACCCCTCTTCGCTATAGTGGCCACCTTCGCGGCAAAATGCCCAAATGTGGATGATCCGATTGCTCAGATACGAGACCACACAGGCGAGAAAATAGTGAAGGCTTTCAGCATGCTGCAGATTCACCAACCTCATTCTACAACTTCTTCCGCTTCACGCAGACAACTATCTACCCAAGCCTCCAGATACTAACCATGAACGCCAAGACAATCCTCGGCGTCGCCGTCGCTACCTTCGTTGGATCAGCCGCTGCCTCCAGCTCCTCCAGCTCCGACACCTGCTCGTCGTCGCAGCAAACGTCCGCATACACGACGCTGGCCAGCCTACTGACTCTGGACTCGTTCCAAGGATGCGTCGATGACTCGGGCTATAGTCTCCTATATTCGACTTCGCTGCCCACGGACGCCGAGTACGCTCTTATGTGCGCGTCGACAAACTGCCAATCTCTCATCGAGTCTATCATTTCGCTGAGTCCGCCAGACTGCACCCTGACTGTGCCCACGAGCGGTCTGGAGGTGAATGTGTATGAGTTGGCCAACGGTTTCTCCAGCGTGTGCTCTTCCCTGTCGAGCGATTCGTCCGCCAGCACGACGTCGACGACGTCGACTTCCACTAGCACCACGGCGTCGACGACTTCAACCACGGCACCTACGACGTCGGCTATCACCTCGACGGCCGCTTCGAGCACCAACGACGCCACCACCGCGGCTTCGACGAACTCAACAGAGGTAGCAACGACGTCGACCAGCTCGGACTCGACCACCGCCACCACGACGGCCACGGCCTGCTGATGGACAACGTTCTCGTTCATATCATCTGACACAAGAACTTCAGCTTTTCCAGCAATGCTTCAGTAATTTTGTCGGACGTATGTTTGCTAGCATTATCGCAATCGGCATTGCTAGAATATACACGAAAATGTCTAGCTGCATTGTAGCGTTTGTTGCGATGTTATGTCGTTTTTCGGCGTCGTATCGGAATCCGTTAATTCACCACGCAGAGAAGTAATTTATGATCCTGGCCGAAAGCAATGGTAAGCTTACGCGTAAACAACGGCAATACTACAGAGTTGAGATTACGCCGCATAATTTACGCAGAGGCGAGCGAGTTAACAATGGAAAATTTGCCCACCGCAGTTGAACCTAGTTTCATACAAGCTCGTACGACAAAGTAGCGTCTAACTACGTACCAAGCTCCTAGCACACCAATCGTATGGTATCACATGAGATTTTTTTTAGCATGGGGGCGATCAATTGTCGATACCCTCATCCAAAAAATGATATATATATATACACTGCCAACGTTGTCACTAACGCAAGAAAATACGTCCTAGCTCAAACCTAGCCTGTAACAACTTAGCATGCGGCGGCGGTCTGCGTCACCGAAGTCTGAGTCACGGACTCCGTCGAGTTCGTCGTGGTGGCGGCCGGAGTGGCAGCGGG